TAAGCTGTTTTGAGTTAGACCTCAAGTGGATTGCGGACTTTTGCAATCACTCACAACAATCAGCCTTTCGAGTCGCAAAATGTGCTTGAAATTCACGCCCACAAACTTGCCGCATTTGAAAGCAGCCCACTTCTCTGACTTTCCGTGTCAAATCGTTGATATTCTTCGTTCTTGTGGTGATAGGTCTTGGGTGTTTGCAAATTCCAAACTGGCTCGTAAGGCGGTGGGAATGGATGACATGTGTCGTCGCTACGAGCGGGTCACGTCTGTTCTCCGACAGGCCCTGAATGCGGTTCTATCGAATCCCGATCGGCCGAGAAACTGCCTTGTGTCTCAGCTTGTCGACAACGAAGAAGGCGAACTTACTCGTGAGTCACGATTTTTATTGGTAATCGATAAAATGATTAATATTCGTGTCTTTATTGCCGTCACATCTGAGAGACAATCAAGCGACAGAGATTTGGCTTTATATAGATTCGATTACAACAAACCAAGTTCAGAAACAACTGTGAATGACTAACTTTATGTTCAACCTCGATTTGATACACCGAATCCGTAAATAATAAAAGACTATTTGAGACTGAAAACGACGCATTCACCTTTTCACAATTAATTAATACCAAGAAAATTACCACAATAAACAATAAATGTTAAGCATTAAACCCATACTGCAAACCACTGTGTTCCGGTTCAAAATGTGCTCAAGTGAAGCTAGTATATTAAAACAAAGGATCGAAAACAGTTGACTATCGACTATATTTTGACTATGCAGTGGGGAATGCACATCAAATGTTGTTTGAGTTGATGGCTGCGGGGGTTGACACAGCAGGACTCACTCTAACCTGGTGTTGCTACGCGATCGCCAGTGGAAAGTTGACGGTTTCACCAGATGACGTCTTCAACGAATCCCACCTCGAGGTGGTGCATCGCCTGGGGAGTACGGTGCCTCTGGCAATGCCACATCGAGCCCGCTTCGACAGCCGCGTCTGCGGTTACTACGTGCCCAAGGACAGCGTTGTCATCTTCAACATTTTCGGCGTCCACCAGGCTCAACTGAAGGAACAGATCTGCACCATCACTGGTTCCGGATGTTCGCATAAACAGACGGCGACCTTCCAGCCCAAGATGTACTTCTGCGAATCTGCTATTCCATTCTCATTGGGTGAGGAGCGTTGTTAAAATCAATGCGTGAAATTGCGCGCCCTAATCGAATTGCGTGTCTTTTTGGCACAGGTCCAAGAGCTTGCCCTGGATTCACGTATGCAACACGTCTGGTCACAAGGGTGATGACCCACCTCATTGCCAATTTCGAAATCAAGGAATGCGACAAGGCGGCTGGCAACGTAGACGGCTACAGAGGTGGCCTAACGAGACCTCCAGCAGATCAATGTTTCCGATTTATCCCACTTAGGGGGACTGAGGAGTAGCGCAGTTTAAAAACCCAGGAGTAAATGTAACACTTCTGGTTGTTTTTTAATGCAATTACCGAAAAAGTGAAAAATACCTTAAATGGAGCTTTTCTACAATCCGCTGAGTTATCTCTCTACGAATGGTCTTGGATATTTACAAAGTCCAATCCGAACTTACAGTCAGTCTGGACTACATTCTATCGAAGTGAAAACTTAGTATTTAAATTCAACAATGGCAGCGTCGGATGGATTGAGACTGTCCAATCAGAAATCGTCTTGACTCGTAATGAATGCTTTGTGGCACAAAACAGTATGGAATCAAGGTCACGCGTGACCAATAAAGTCTTGCCTAAAGCAGTTTGAGTTAAGTGTGTAGCGTGGGTAGTATTTCAACAAGGGTGGGTGGACAGACTGTTCTGATTGGCCGATGGAGTCGCTGTGATTAGGGGGGTGGTGGCGACGAAGTGAATGAACATTAGTCAACACGATTCACCACGAAAGTATTTGGCAATATTATGAGTAGTGGCAGACGGTCGCACAAATACCACTCCGTTCCTTCTTACGTCGGTTGCTGAAAACTCACAAAATGGTAGCCAAAGTTGGGAAGTCCCCATGGTGGTAAGGTTTAGCTTATTGCTTTGTTTTAATCAATTAAACGCACAAATGGAAGTCATTTTAGACTCACGTTCAGGCAGGTGATCCGTCACTACTTTTTAAATGTACTGACCAAAAGCACACGACAAGACAGTCACTGCTGCATCAGCCAAAGACAGGGTGTAGTGTAAAAAAAGGAGGATTGGATGACCTTGATCCGAGAAATCAAGTGAGCTAAACAACGATGGGAGTGTAAGTGGGGTAGTGAGACCAAGAGAAAATGGCGGAATTATGAAAATGAAACAGTCTAGGGAGTTTCTGATTTTCCTGGTTGCTCACTTGAATCAGCCGCCGATATCGGCTGCTGATCAAGTTGATTCTAATATTTTAATCATACCTTCGACTCATTAGTCACATTGGTGCTGAGAGTTTGGACACGCTTATTCAAAATGGAGTACCTAGTTCCACATGTGGAGGCTTAGGGTGAGCGAATTTTGTAGGACGTCTAAACAGTATTCGCCGTGGGCAATTTGAAAATCTAAAATGAGATGCTGGGCTGAAAACCGGTAGAAAATTTTGCAGAAGTTTAACTGATGTCCTATCCAATTGGGTCTAAGAATTTCTGTGTGGCTAAAAATCTTGGTGAAGCCTGTACCGTCCTTGTAATGATTGGTTATTCCAGTAGTCGCAAGAAGAATGCACGGAATCCAGGTAGTCGGTTAAGGCAGAAGCGATCCGTATTTGAGAACCAAAACGTCTACGTTAAAGAGCAAGGATCATAAATATCGCATTAGCTTGATAACATTAGGTGCAGCACAAGACTTGGTCAACGATTTGGTGGTCTGAAGGAAATTTCCAAGAAAACCTCCCAAACAAGGAAATTTGGGCGCTACAGCACGTTCTCTAACCCTCAAATAGCCGCCTACAATTCCAAAGAATTTGTTTCGCCGGAAACCTATCATCATCGACATAGAGTGTGCACATTCATTGAATAACAATCACCTTTCTAACCAGAGTAATTGCCGAGTGACATGCAGAGAAGCTAGGAATATCTTAAAGGAGTCAAAAGCACCAGGATGGGGCATAGTAAAGAAAGAATCTTGAATGACGGAAATATTCTAAGAATTCTGCCATGCTGGAAATGACAGACACAGTACTGTTATTAAACTATTGAAATTTGACTTGTGTCGTTTTGATACAGAGGCTTGGTCAGTATCGCTAAATGATGTCTCGATGCAACGGAACAACTTTGAAACGGAAGAGGGAGTTGGAGTATTTGAGGTGTACGACATAAATGCGACTGCCTAGGTTTGTGTGTAAGTCATCTAGGCCCTACAAAAAAGTATACGATAAAGTGCGTAAAGGAATCAGAATATTCAATAATTGAGCTGTTGACTTGCCACCAAGACGAATTCCGCCAGATGCAATTCGTTTACATTCAAGACATTGAGGGTTGGCATCTACCGATGGCTCCATACCTGGGGGGCTGGTATTTCTAAACAAAAGGCCTTTCTTTGTGTTTGACAAGTTGTGAAGGATAGGCTGTGTTGCAGAAAAGTGACCATGATCAGTGAGGAAATTTTAGAGAATTTGTTAATTGAATGTAAAAGAGTTTTATGAATGTATGCGAAGGAAAATAAGGCAGATAAAAAATTACACTACATATAATCAGAAACTTCGGCAAACGATGCATCATTTTTGACTCCTTATTAAACTTATGTTAAGCAAAATTAAATGCACAACAATTCTGCAAGTTATCATGAAAAACGTCGAAATAAACAAAAGTATCAATAATAGACAATGGTGTAAATTTTAACAACTAACTCACAATAAAAAGATGCTTTAATAGTTCCTGCATGAAAGATGGACAAAATTCTGCACAAAACACTTCTTTCATTACATGTCTACTGACTTGCCACAAATGAAATGTTAAAGATTCGAAAGTCTGGAGACAAGAGTTAACAGCATCAGAAAATTTAAAAAATTCTCAGCATTTTACTTTGCGTAAAATATAAGTTAAGTAAAAAAATTTAAAATGCTGCCTAAATGCACAATTGTATTTATTGTGGCAAACAAATGAACTGATTCGGAAGTGTGTTTGAATGAGTGGCGCACTTTGTCAAGGACAATCAAAATTTCGCGGCCATTAGTGGGAAAATTTTGGACTTTGCCGTTTTAGGACTAAGATTCTGGTTTGAGTGCGTTCTTTTCAGTAAGATCTTGCATTATAATGAAAGTGTTTTTACTTAACTCTGAAATACACAGGCATTCCACCTTTATTTTCGAAGGTCATTCCGGAAGGTCGCGCCGTAGCGTTCGGCGCGATTTAATCATTGACCTTGGTTGACAAGAACTGCATTATTTTGACGTATTCTAGATTCTTTCTCTAGCTCCTCTGTTATATAATCAATACATAAACTGTACGATTGAGGTTTGCTATAGGTTGTTGCCCTATCAGCGGTCTTGAAATTCGCTCCCTACTTTGTCGTGAACATCTCGGATATTTGAATTATTTCAACAGCAATAGAACTTTCCAGTTCTCATTGCAAACGCTTTACCGTCTTGAATTTAATTAATTTAGTCTGTTGCTTATGTCCCTCCTTGTTTGGGCTCCTTCGTCTCCTTTCTCTTCGCCCGAATTCTATCATTATATCCACTTAACTAAAAGCCAAGACGTCACCACTCTTCTTTATTTTACATTTTTAATATGAAATTGCAAATTTATAGAAGTTGCGTTTGTTTGAATTCACTTTTCGATATCTTGCAGACGTCGTAACTACCTTAGCCATGGACTTCCCTTTTCCCCACGTTAGCTTGTATAGTCTCAGAATCACTTGCAAGCGCCCCTCAAATTCCGCACAAATGCAACTAAATCCGTTTTTGTCTTAATGTTAGCGGATGGTTTTTGTGTGACTTTTATTTCTAAAAAAATTTAGTCTTGTGTTCCCAAATTTGGCCGTTCTCAAAGTACGCCTGGGCCGTTGTAATGCAACCAGAATTGACAACTCCTATTTTGTTATCTTTAAATTTTCACGCAGACACAGTCAGAACTTCGGTAATGTCGGCAACGTTTCAGGAAAATCCCTCTGAGAAGGAAAACCAGGAATCTAAAGGAGCCGAACTCACTGAAGCCAATTCTGACCAGTCGAAGGTTTCTCAAGATTTAAGTAAACAGACAGGTCCGACTCATGTTACCATACAGCTTCCTGAAAGCATGCAGGGCACCTCCATTAGTCAGCAAAAAATGCAGGAACTGATCGCGCATTTATCACAGTCCGGTCAACTTAACGATGACGGAAAAATTATCATTCAGGTGTGTTTTGTAATAGACTTTTAGATTAGTTGTTGCTAATTGTCTGTTGTTGTCGATTGTCCGTGCCATTTAGGTCAACTGATTACTACCTCATCCTTCTATCTACTGTCTAATCTTTCGAAAATTTCGTCTTTTTGTGCCTAACGCATGTTGCTACTGTCTAAGAATTCTCTCAGTTCTACCAAAGTCGTAAATTAAATCAGTTAACGTGTGGTTAATGCCAATCATGTGCTCTAATCACCAAAAGACCACATTTTAATCTTTATATTGGGACACATCACGCACTTCAGAAATGCCAAGAACATTGTTTCTTTGTCCCAGGTGAAAGGCAGTCTTGAGAAACCAGAGGAGAGATCTCAGTCCAGTGAGAAGAATTCCGATGCAGATCAAGAACACCAAATGCCCCCTCCACAACCGGTGTCTTCAGCCCCTTCGATAAAACCTTCACCGCATCAAGTGTCTTCACACGCCATCAGATACGTGACCGTGCAGCAAGCTCCTAGTTCGTCTGTCTTTTCTACCAGCACACCGAAAACCGCGGTACGTTTTTCCAAGTGCTCCTCGCGATGTAATTCTCCTCTCACTTTGTTGTCACGTGATTCTAGTTGTTTTGTTTTCTCGTTTGCATCTAGTTCATCAGAACAACGACTGGACCATCCCAGGTCAAAGTTGATGTACTTCAGAGCCAATCAAACTCCGCACAGGGTCAAGGTGACATCAAGACCCAAGGTGCTGCCACGGCCTATCAGGTTTTGTCTGCCAACGGCGGCGGCGGCGGCGGCGGACAGCAGCTGCAGCAGACAGGCCACTCACAGCAGCCTGCCTACATCCTTATTCCGGCCAATCAGCAGACGCAGCACCTCAGTGTTACGCCTTTGAATACGACCACGTCGATGGCGTCGTCCGCTAGCACGCCAATTCGTGTTGTCAACCAAGCCGGTCAACGTGAGTTTTTTAGATCCACCGTTTCACCATATATTCTTGCTACTTTTAATTTGAAAGCAGTAATGTTATGTTATGTTATGTTGCCTATCAAGTAGCACTCCAGCAGTCGGTTAATTGCGCCAAGCAGGCAGATCACGGTTTGTTTGCATTGGTAGTGAAATAAAGTGTCCAGGGGCGTCTTACTTTTGCCGTATCAGCCTGAAATCTCGGTTTTTTTCGGCGTTCGCTTCAAAGCATTCCGGCAATATCATAACAGCAACAGCACATCGTCGAAACCCCAGCTGATATCATTCGTTTCGAGTGATGTCTTTGACAAATGCATGCACCCTGTCATTAAGTGCTCATCGTCACGTGTTTCGGCGTGAATTGGGCCCATTTTGGCCTCAAATTTATACGCCAAAAAAGCAGGTATCACGAAGCCGCGTTATTTACTGCACACACACACACACACTGTGTGCGAGTGTTTTTGTGTCACTCACGCATAGAAGCTCACAGCATTGGCTTAATCAAATTAGCCTCCACCAATGCCTGCAGCCGGTTGCGCGTCACACGCAACACCGACGGGTGTTTTTCAGTAGACAAAAAGTCACCGTGTCAGTTTGGGAGGTGATTTTCCACACCCAGGATGTTCCAGCCCAACAGCCCGAGCCTTGTGCCCCGTTTTCAGCCCAATTGGGGTACGTGTTGGTTGAGTTGCCTGTTCCGCGTCGCTCTTGGCGACCAGCTGAGTCGCCGGCGTGCATGACTCACCCCTTTGTTGACCTTGAAACACGTTTTTCCGCGCCTCTTTTTTGTAGACATAATCTTCCAGCACGCCAACACCACACCCATGACCTCCACGCCGATAAGCAGTTTCTCCCTGAAGACGGCCAGCATGCTGAAGGACGGCGAGCGCAGCGTGGTTGTGCTGCAACAGCAGCACCAAAACCCCATTCCCATAGTGCCAGTGCGGTCGTTCGCGCAGCAGCACAACAACCGCCTGCCGCCAGCGCCACCGGCCATCGCCGCCGCCGCCACCTCCGCCACCTTCTCGCCCAGCCCCTCAACGCCCTCGGTTCGAGTCTCGCGCGGCTCCAGTCTCGGCACCTCTGGGGTAAGATTCCGTTGCCACGTGACGTCGATAGCAAGAATGGCAAGTATATGAAGTCTTGGGATGCTATTAGGTGTTTTATGCGTCCCAAGGGCTTGTCTCCCATGCTGAACGACAAGTCTGCGTGAGTTACGTAACCTCTCAGAATAGCAGAGTTCACGATTCGATTGCCACGCGACGTCTTAGGATGGCATTAGGTGTATGACCTTATGTTTTTGCAGATGTTTTCTTCCTGCTTATGATTGCATTTAAAATAGGGATCTTTTCGTATTTTTCTTGTGGTTTTGCAAGCATCGGACGGATCACTCACACTTTAGTTGACGCGATTAAAACTCTACACGAGCTCTGGTCATGTGGGAAGGTCGGTTCTAGCGTCAACAAGAAATCTGGTACCGTTATTTGAGTGGTCTTCTCTTGCTTACGGGCAAACATAACTGGTTAATATATAAGCAACTTCTTTAATAGATTGGAAAGAGTTGCATAGTCACGAAGCGTCATTGTCCCAGGGAACAGATCTCAGGCAAATATTAAGTGTAGGACCTAATTTGTACAGATTTTCTTCAATCTGAAAAACACATTTAAAGTGAAAATATTTCCTCCGTCTTTTGTGGCTTTAAAAAGATCGGACGAAAGGTTTCAGAACACCGAACGACACATCAACGTGAATTATGTAACCTCTCAGATTAGTAGAGTTCACGATGGCTACTGATAACCAGCACATACGGTGGCACTGCACTTCACATGAATTCCAACAACAAGGAAAAATGGTGCTTCCAAGGCAAGGAAAGAATCAATTTGCAGTGTTTCTGGCGCCGATGGCGTATCCTGTGGAACGTGGTACAAACGCTTCAGAAGTGGCAATTTCGATCTTGGTGATCAGTCGCTTCCCGGGTAGATGCGCAGTTCAATCGGACGAAGACTCAAGGCAAACGCAACAATTACTCGCAGCTATTTCCAAGCGTCTGGAAGTTGGATCTCACATGCATTGACCCAACACAACCCAGGCCAGCGAATGACTATCTTCTACCTTTCAAAGTTTAAAGATGCGGAATTGCAGTCTCTGCTTACTAAAGACTCAACGCAAACGCAACAAGAGCCTCCAACGCACTTGGGGAGTCACCCAAACAGCTATTTCCAAGCGTTTGAGTCACCAAATGGACAAATTCAAAAAGCTGGAAGTTGGATTCCACATGCCTTGACCCAACACATCCTAGACCAGCGTATAAAGACGTGTCTTTCATTGCTTGACTTCCCGTGGAAAATTTTGTTACGAGAATCCCATTCGTACAAAATCGGGGGTAGATATCGGGTGCATTGACGCCGAAACAGGACATCCGTCCACTTGAAGAAGGTCCTCCTGTGTGTCTGGTGGGGGACATGAAGGGTGTACTTGACTAGGATCTCCTGGAAACAAATGGTCGTGAGACCGTGACGGCGCAACGCCACAGCCGACTATTGAACAAACTGAGCAAAGATCTTGATGGGAAGGGGTCAGACAAGTCATACTGCTGCTGCTGCTGGTGGTGAATGACATCGCTCGACCACATCGCATTGCTCGTGCGACTCAGCAGACCCTCTTGAACTGGGGATGTGAAGTTCTCCCACACGCGACACATTCACCAGGCGATATGCGTAAATTCGTCGGTGGCTCTATCGCGTCGAAGCCTGCAAGTTCCTTTCGCAACGGTAATCGTACGTTACCCGAGAGATGGCGCAAGGTCGTAGAAAACGATGGACAACATTTCCCAGATTAAGGTCGTTGTTCTTTTTCACTAATCCAAAATTAATTTGCTAAACAATTTGCAAAAATCTAAGTCATAAACCTAGTACTTTCAAAGTCCAGCTCTCCGCCCTGTAGAGCTCACTCCGAATGCGGTGGGAGAGGGGTCGATTGTGGTGAGGTTTCGGGTGGTTAACTTGTGCCTTGTTTTGCGTCCGTGCAGAAGGAGTCCTCGTGGCAGCAGTACGTGAAGCAGTTCGAGAAGCTGGGACCGTGTCCGATCTGCGGCGACAAGATCTCGGGCTACCACTACGGCATCTTCTGCTGCGAGTCGTGCAAGGGCTTCTTCAAGCGCACCGTGCAGAACGCCAAGCGCTACGCCTGCCACATGGCCACGCCCTCCTCCCTCTGCGACATCACCGCCACCTCGCGCAAGAAGTGCCCCGCGTGTCGCTTCGTCAAGTGCCTCGAGAAGGGCATGCGCATGGAAGGTGCGTTTCCACCGTCTTTTCTTCCACCTCCTCCACGTTTTTGGGCTCAAAATCCCCTGAATTACACGGCATTCACGGGCAAGATTAATATATGTCTTCTGCGGTGTTCTTTGACGGCTTCCATGCCGAGTTTCAAGCACACGTTTTTTTTAATTGCTTTGTAATCCAATTTTGTTGTCGGTTGACGGGTGATCATGTTGATGCTCGGGAGAGTAGTTCAAAATAGACAACACCTAAGTTATTGTGGTCCCGTCAAATTGACACCGTGATCTCCCTTGATGCAAACCGCCATCTTTCGTTGTGGATTGTGCTAGTGCATCATGCCTGCGCCATTATTATTATTATTATTTTCATTGCAATTATGTATTTAGAGCATTTTTTGCGGTTATACGATCATGATCCGATTCAGTAATGGTTTTGAATAGGACGCCATAGGATGACCATAACAGAAGCTGCCAAACCGATTTACACACCCCACGCGACTGTCTTCCTGTCTTCACGCAAAAAAACAAAGTGGTAGAGGTTTGTTCTTGAACGCTGAGAGTTGATTTAAAACAAACGGGACACGAGGAAAGCATTTGTGGTGGTCACACGGCCTCACTGTTGTGTTGTAGCTATTCGCACGGATCGGACACGCGGGGGCCGCAGCATGTACCCGGGCTCGCGATACCTCCGGCAGCTGGCCGCTCGCGCATCAGGTGGCGGCGAGGTCAAGTGTGAGCTCAAATGCACCCCCTCGTCCTCCGCTGGCGCCTCCGCCGCCCTCCCCGCCATCGCGCCCCTTCCCAACTCCGCCGCCGCCGCCACCGCCGCCGCGGCTGCAAGTGGCGGGTCCTTCCCCAAAATCGAAGGGGTGAACATCATGTCCCTCGGCGGTGTCGGAGGCGGCGTCACCTACGAGCTGCCGGCCTCTGAAGACGTCGGCGGCGGCGTGTACCTCGATCCGGCGGTGCTGGAGGACACTGGGGGCAGTGGCACGGCTACCTCTGCCGCGTTTCAGGCAGACACTGTCTACAGACTTCCGATTCAGACTCATGAGACCCTTGATATGCCAAAGGTGCGCACGGCTAGTGCTGTTCGCTATTTTTGTGGCATCGGGTTGAACCGGGTGAGATTCGGGACTACCACTCCATTGTTACAACTTGGTTTTGCGGGATTCACCTTCCAGCATGTTCCAGTCTAGATGAAATTACGCGGTCTAGTTCGGTTCTGGTTGACCCGCGAACACGTGCGACGGCAACTAGAGCCTCCTTCATGCGAAATCTGGCCAATCTTCATGCGTTTCATTGACACTTAACCCAACAACCTCATTGCTTCCTCGTCGTTAGAGAATTTTTTTGTGCTATTACTTGGGACTGCTTCCGCATCAAACATTATCTAACTGACTAGGCTAGATTTCACTACTCACTCTGAGCTACTTGAAGCTGATGTTGAGTTCTTGATGGCGAGGTGGTGGAGGCGAGTGCCAGCCAAATTAACGCCTGCTCCGTGCCTTCTTCTAGTTGCTTCGAGATATCATCAAAGTCGAGGAGTCCGTGGAAGCCGAGCCGGAGGAGCGACTGGACTTTGAGAGCCCCGAGGCCGGACAGTCGGGCAACGGCGCGTTGCCCCCCAGCGTCACTGAGGAGGAGGCCGCTGTGTACCGGGCGCTGCTCAACCTCGCCGACCAGCGTCTCTACCGCATTGTCCGGTGGTCCCGGGCGCTGCCGGTCTTCAGCAACCTCGACACCGACGACCAGATCCTCCTCCTGCAGAACTGCTGGGCTGACCTACTCTGTCTCGACTGCTGTTGGAAGTCCCTGCCGACGCCAACGGTGGGTAGTCGCATTTCATGAACCAGCCAACTTCGAAACCGTCCACCTGCCGGTCGTATTGATTCCCCCACTCCGTCTTGAAGCACGCAAGGCTTCAAAATTGGCTCTCAGTTAGCGAATTAGAATAGTAAAACTACTGGAGAAGGGAGGTGGGAGGGAGGGGGGCTATCGGAATAGCACGGTGAATGCAAGCAGCGCGCACGTGTCACGCCTCTTGGTGCACAAGTTTATAGCCTATGATCTGCAGCGTAAACTGCCCTAAGGCGCGCTCCAGCGCGCGTGGGAGGCAGTTGCACCGCCTACTAAACGTTTTCATGTGGAGCCAGCGTCTTTTCTGTTTAAACACGAATTGCACTGCTCGCCGCAAATGACGCCTTGCGCTTTTCGATACCTTAGGGATCCCGTATCGTCTGTTAGTTGATGGTCTACGCAAATATCGTTAATTCGATTACCGCATCACTTTTATCGAAATTACCCGCAGGTTTGTTTATCTCACCAATAGGAGATCCGGTTGACGTCGACAAAGTGCATTAACCTCGACGCAGCTCGTGAAATGGGCGCCGAAGGCCTGGTGGACAGTCTGCTTCGCCTTACCCAAGATCTCAAGCGTCTGCGCTTCGGTCTGATCGATTTTGCGTGTCTGAAGGTCTTCCTCCTCATGCAGTCGGACCTAGCCAACCTCAAGGCCGTGGATCAAGTCAAGCGGTTCCAGGATTGCGTGAGTGAGATGCTGATGGAATTCAACGCTTCCACGTTCTCCGACGTGCCGAACAAGTACACAGAGCTGCTCATTCGGATTCCCGAACTACAGCGAACCAGTGCGATGGCCCGGGACCTCCTCATTGACAAAGACCTCTCCCCCTACCTCTCCGCCAACTCCCTGCTCATGGAACTGCTTCGCAGCGACTTTCATCGCCATCCCAGCACCATGATGCCGCCGAGCACTTCCGTTGGATCGGTGACCGTCGACACCGGCGGTCGGGCGACGGCGTCTTTTCCTGAAACCCAGCACCGCGGTGAGGAGAGCGTTGACGAGCGCCACCGGGTCGTGTTCCAGGCCGGCGAAGCCATGGACACGTCGGCAAACTCTTACCCATCCAACGGGCCACTCTAATTCCTCTGCCATGTGGTATTGTCGGTTTTTATTTTTCTACTATTTGATACCCATCACCGCCTCTCCACCGCAAGTACTAATACCACTACCGCACCTGTAACATAACCTGACTTCTTTTGCATACTATATTCTCGTATGGACAGCAGGCCTCAGTGCTGCGTGTCTGCACAAAGAGCCTACACACACCCAAACACACATGCATACCCGGCTCGTTGGTACTCTATATGCTTAAACCCTCATATCTTATTGTTAATACAATGAACAACGCGTAAACATAGATGATCGGTATTTATTTTAACCCGAAAGTACAAATCAGCGGCCTTGAACGCATTGAAGACACTACCAGGTCTTTGAAAATCTTTTGTATCTTGAAGTAAGGGGATGTTTTCCTTCTTCGAATACACTGACGTGTAGTTCTTGGCGTGGAGCCTCAGTATTTGAGAAGAGTACGCGTTGCGTTGGATGGTAACAAGGTGGGAGTGAGGTATCTTGTGCTGGGTCCTACAACGAAACTGAGTCAGATGGGGGGGGGGACTAACCTGAATCGATGGAGGTAACTGGTGAAAAGTCAGGCAGTGGAGGGAAAACCGATCGATTGTGTGCTTCAAGAGGTCGAAAAACACCGACTGGGTTATTGCCAACTCTTTTTTTGGGACAAGACCAAAACACGCAGTCAGCGAGTCCAGAATCAGCAGGGAAGCCCTAACGTGTTTCATTAGATCACAAAGACGACAAAGGGCGAGAATGCACTCGGTGGCGGTGCGAGCGGAGATTACGTGGAACCTGCTCAAAATCTAGGAAGTTTGACCTTGGAAGTTCACGCACTTTGTCGATAACGTCCGACTTGGTAACCTCGGGATGGCTACTGGTGAGAAAGTTTTCGATGAATACAACAAAATCAAGAATTGAGAAGGAGGATTCGGTGTCCATAAGGATGCATTCGCTGTCCGAGCCACTCGTGCTCGTGCCACCGATGCAAGTTGGAAGAACTTGGGCCAGAATGGTGTCAAAGAGGATGTGTTGTTTAAGCAGAAATGCGTCTTTCGGAAAGGCAAACTCGATTACGCTGGAGCCAGCTTTCGACTGAATTTGACCGGCAAATTGGAGGTTAAAAACGCTTGGTTTTTCTAGCCCAGAGAGCCGGGAAACAATCTACGATGTGAAGCAACAGACGAGACCAACCTTAAGACCGCTTTCCATAGGCAGTGCCATTGTGGTTGAGAGTGATACCAGAGAAGGCTAGATCGAGTTACTGCCCGAGGAATAAGCAGGGAAACAGCTTTCTTACTCGAAAATTGCAGAACTTTGGTAGGCGATTGGCTGTAGTCAGTATTACTCCTAGAGTGTTGGGCAAATTTGAATGGCACATATTTTCATGAGCACAAAATTTAGGCAAAATTCGGACTACGTTTAAAGGTAAATTACTTCGAAAACAGATGCCACAGAGCAGCAAGCTGTCAGTTTACCACGCAAATCATTTTGATGTCACAGCAATGCGAGTCAGTCGGTGCGAGCATTTTGCTTGGTAAACACGAAATCTTTCGTCATAACTAAAAGCAGACGACGAAAGTTCTCATGAAAAGCAATGGAGATTAAAACGCACAGTAATTTGTCGGCTGCTAAAAAACCACTCCAGAATTGAGGGCAAACCTAAAACCTTTCACGTTCATATATCAAGGAACTAAAAGCGATACGTAGCAGGTTTTTGGTAACACCCTAAAGAACAAGTCGAAAAAGCTTAAATTTTGAACTAATTTTGGAAGGACAAGTGCGCCTACACCTCATTTGGGTTGTACTCTCAAAGCCTGGCTGCTGATAACGAAAAATGCATGCTAAATTACAACACGGCTGATCCTAGTTACGAATTGGTTCCCCACTTACACAACGACTCACTGTCGTCTAGTACACAACATGAATTCTTTTCAGTTAAAGGCGAACGGCTCCATGACGTTCTGTTGCTGAGAGCGGATTGTTTTTGATGCAGAAAACAAACCGCAGAAAAAGGCGTATTATACACTATGGGGGGCCAACAAATAAAACCAGCTAACACGAACATACTAATGGAGTACAAATATTACAGCATCTGCGGTTTGACTAAACCCGCTGCGCATGAGATATGTAACACAAATAACAAGTATTACCTTCAATTCAATCGACTAGATAAAATGATTATGAGCGACAAGATAACCGACCAAATGGTATAACCACATTCAATGAACACTCGTTAAGTACACAGTTAAGGAGAAAATAGTCAAATGTATTAATTATCATATATACTGTTTCACATACTTGTTGCCATCTCCGATTTTTAATCAAATGCATTTAAGTGATGGTCATGAGGGATTAGTTGATATCACAAATTATTTCTTGTGAACTGCAGGACATCATTGGGACATTTTTTTAAAATCTACTCCAGGCTCCTTTGAAGCTTCAACACAAAAGTTATTGCGTATGAATGGATCGCACCAAATATTCTACCAAAAATAATTTCTTGACGATGTCAATTAAGTAGAGAGTAACTTAAAAACTACCATATTTCTCCTTTATTTTAATAAATGTTAATCTTGCTTTAAGTACATTCACCAATATTAAAATCTTCACAGTTATAAGTAGGGCAACGAAAAATTAATTAGATGCTGATACATTAGCTTATTCCTGGTCGTGAAACGATTCACACATAAGCCTTTAACCATGGCCAGAAAGGGTAAAAGATGCATTTGGAGATGATATAATAAGTAAACAGGTAGGTAGATAGGCCGGAAAAGCACTTATATTAAAAGTTGATGAAAAACTAATTACGCTGCAGATGCGAGGAGCGAGTTGTTGGTGCTTTCAAACAAAGGTATGAATGCATTTTTATTTTAAAAAAAAATAATAAGGAACAAGACTTAGTTAGCACACAATATTTAAATAATAATATCATGCAAAATTTATTATCAAATAGTTTAATTTTTCAAGTGTTTACAGAAGGGATCCTCGTTTTGAATGCAAGCAATATCTTTTATTTTTTTTATTAAATTGCTTGCATCTAATGTATTTTTTTTTCAAAAATTCCTGCTGCGAAATAATATTTTCAATAATGAATAAGATTTTTACGATATTCAGCTTAGTATGTATATGTTAACTTGGTGCTGAATGATTCGCTGCTCTTGGAATTCTAGAAAAATAAAGAATGTACGATTTTCACAATTTTTCACAAGGTATAGTATAATCTTCAAGGTATTTTGAATAAAAAATTGAAGTATTTCGGGTTTTGCAAAGAGTAAAACCTCATTTTTGGAATTTATCTGTTGCTGGTGTGTTCATATTTTTACGGTAGTTCAATTTGCTTGAAATACAGTTTCGTAACCACTTCAGATAAAATTTGCACATTTTTTGCATTAGCAGTTTGCGGGATAAAGTTGACTTAGTGTTTACTAAAGTCTGTGTAAAAATGTGCCAAATTAGTGCTACACTTTTTTTTAAATTAATCATTTTTTGTCCATAATTTCTCCTTCATTTAAATTCTTCTTTTTCGCCTTAATTTGCACAACTTTGTAATCCACTTACAAACTGTGTTTTTGTGAAAAATCGTAAGGCATTTTTGTTACTCATTCCTTTAATCACATGATGTGCTATGTAAACTAATTAACAAAATGGTAACAGATGAAAAACTAAAAACATGGAACAGTGTGTTACGACAAGTGCTGCTTGATGATTTGCCATTTTAAATCCTTACGTTTTGGTCGTGCTTGTTGACCTACAAATGGTCTAATGTTCCCATGATCTTAGTTGACATTTTGACATTTGGCTTAGCTTTCAGCACTAAACTACGTGATATGAGCATTTAAAAATATTAATGCCTGGTATAAAGTTCGTTCAAATAAAAGATTGTCGTTTAGCTTGAGGTCTCCATTTTGAAATTTAACAATTCATGATTCACCTGGCCTAAAAGTCGAATGGTAAAATATCATCTCAACTATATCCTTAACGGTAATTCATGGATCCTTAATTTTTTACCAAGTCATTGGCAAACGCAAAATTTGATGTCCCGGTTGAAGTCACCACTTTTAATTGGTTGATTTCTAATATGCTGATGAAAGAAGCATGAGCACACGCTTCTGAAAATTGCACTTGAAATGTTGCAATCATCAATAATTGAAGTATTGATTAGTTTTCTCGCGGTCTCCTCAAGACTTTCTTAAAAGTGTGGATGAAATCAGTTCGCTGTTTAACTTTGTCACCTGATGTTACCGAGTAACATGATGGCGTTACTAAGTGTTCACCACTTGCATACATTAATTTTTCCCGGAACTATCGATCAATTTCAATAAATTTGTCAATTTTACTAACTTACCGTTGCGAAATACGTTTTAGGTTTTGCGATAGAATGACTTAAATTCAAATTTTATTGTAGTGGTTTGCGTGAGTGCCAGGACTGTTGTCAATTTACTTGTTGTTAGTTGTCATTAGAGGGTACATGGAAAGTCAGAATATCTCTTTCTAAGGCTAAAATCCTTTCACGCGAAGTTCGATCACACGGCAACATAAATATACCCCGAAAATACAAATATTTACGGTTTTAGGGATGAGCTGAGAGATTGAACAAATCGGCTACTGCTCTGGCAACTGACTGGTGTACTTATGTAGCATGCATATTTAAAAGTTGCGCCCAGCGACCAAACCAAAACAGTAAAACAAGGCGAATCAATCAGGGAAGCATTGCGAACGTTTGCAAGTACTTTTAGAGGCAGCAGTCTGCTGCGTTTGCACACTCAACGCACCGGCATTAAGTTGGCAGACCTGCTTGCGACCACTGACCCAGTTTGCGTCGTGTGCGTAGGTCCCCAGCAGGCCCACTACAATTTTTGCCTTCACTAAGAGATAGAACTGTCGACATTACAAGAATGATTCGCTTGGCAGTGAACCTAGAGTTTGCAGATTCTACTTTCCGGATTTAGCAAAGGTTACTTCGAATTTCAAAATTTAAATTGTTTTAATTAAACATTCCTTCCATTTACCAGTTATTAACTGTAACTTTGCGTGGTTTTGATGCAGTTTTTTCCCGACAAGCCGTCAATTCCAATATGGCGCGGATGGCCTCAGTGTAGACTTGATTAAAACAATCGGTGGTGTTTCAAATTTGTCGGATTTAGTTGCTTTGGAGCCTACCATGAATAACCAGATTCATACAGACACGAAGACTTAATTTGAAAGCAAACGCATGTGACGATTAAACTGAAAAACTTACTTGCATTCAAGGAAAACCAAAAAAACATTTTTTTAAGAGGAACTTGCGTTGCATCCGTCGAAATGAGTGGTAAATTCAATACTAATTTCATACATCAATCAATTATTGGTGTCGGAGCCTTTCTGACTAAAAATAATATCAGCTGCTGGAATTTATCCCTTTTGGTTTGGCAGGTTGCCAGTCGCGAAGGTGGAATTTGTGTTTGATTAGGGCTTAGTCAGATATACACGTGTTGGAGTCATCCACTTACTGTTTAGTGAATTTAATCACAGGTGCACATTCCAAGCTTAGGTCTGTGTGAATTTCCGTAAAAGCTAACATGGGCCTGGTGTCAAGGTCACGCAAGTCGCTTTAGTCACACACTTTCGCATTTTCCTCAAGACCAAATCATTATTCCACCCCTCAAAAATGATTATTACCCTGGGGGACCCCATGGACTACGATTTCGTCTTTTTGCGTTAAATTAATGAAGTTTTGCGTTGATCCCGAGGTGACTTAAGGTAACCAGGAGCAATGCGGGTACACGGCCTTTTATTGGATAGCTCAACTCAGTTATCTGTGTGCAAACAAGGTCACGGCGAAAGTGCACTAATCAGGAGGCTTCAATTGATTCGCGGTTAATCTAATTTTAAAGGTGTTTTTTTTTTAAATTAAGCAATGCAGACGCTATACATTTTTGAATCAGACTTGACATCCTCAAGATCTTGCTACTAAGTGAAATCCTTGTTCCCAATTCCATGAACATGACATTTGTGCAAGAAGTCAAATAATCGACTTTATCCAGCGCAGGAAAAAAGCTGATTTAAACATTTTATTAGGGCTTGTTCCATTCTCATGTGACCGCCTTTAGTGATTCAAAATGTCCGCATCATTGTCCACACCCCGCATTTCCGAAGACTCCGAACGGAAGGTCTCCATCTGGCTCCTATAAGGGTTGGCGGTATGTGCAGTGTAAATGGAGGTAGTATTTGGTGTCTTCGGTGCCAAGTCGAACTCCGCCATGCTGGGCAACTGCGGTGCCATCTGCGTGGCTGGTTTCCGACCGTCCCGTGAAATCACCGTGATGGTGGAGCTGCTCGCCACGTCGTCGTAGACTGTGGCGGCTGGAGGCGTGGGGCTCATTGTGATCCGGGGGAATCGTCGCGGTTCCTTGCTAGTTTGAGGCGTCGGGATCGGCAGAGCGGGGGGAGGTGGGGGTGGGGGTAGTGGTGAATTATCGATTAGCGGGGTGCGTTGGGAGGGCACGTGGTGGAGAGAGCCGGTGCCGCTGCGCAGACGGCTTCGGCGTCCGGTGGCTGCGGAAAAGGTGCTGGGGAAAACGGTCGCAGCGGCACTGCGCGTCCGCCACAGCTGATTGGGCTGCATTGTGCTGAAGTACTGGGGAAAGGCCAGATCGGTGAACGTTGTTGGGACTTGTTGCTGGGGCTGGTCGAAGTAAAAGGTGTTTGGACCGAACGTTCCAAAACGCTGGAAGTTCGACGAGGGCTCGTCGAAGCAGGCGGAATTGTGCAAGGCGTCACCTGCATTACTTGGGTAGACATCGTGCTCCCAGAGGCCAGAATGAGTTCGACTCATGTTGGTAGGCAAGCATATCATGTCACCCAGGGTCTTCTGATCTTCATTGTACTTCCGTCGCCGTGCTTTTGAATTTTAAAAAACGACACATTTACGACTGCAGTAATTCGAAACTAACTTATCAAACCTGGCGAAATGCCACTGTATCATCAAGGAAAAAATTTCTGACATGCAAAATCCACTTGAATTTAAAAAAAAATGTTTTTTTTTTAAGAACATCAGGGACATACCAGTGAAAATGCAGACCAAACACCATCTACACCAGAGGATCAAATTCACGGTAACGGAGATGATGAAAATCGCGATTAGGCAGAAAATCCACGGCGATTGTGAAAGAAAGGCTGAAAATGCGTAAAAGCTGAGCGTTGTTTTAACTAATAGCTGTTGTTTAAATGCGCACAACAGAACAAACATTTTGCGGGAGATCTTAGTTGACATGGCACCAAGGGTGCTAAATACATGGACCCAGGAACAAACTCAATCAGAGAGCTGGCTTCGTTATCTATTAAGTCATTGTTCTTCAGATAAGATCAATTTCAAAAAGGAACCATGTCGTGTAAATAGCCATAGTTTGGCTGAGTTGTGTTTTGGTGGGTTTCTTCTCATTGGAGCCAATCAGATTCAATGAGGTTAGTTCTGAAAACATGGGGCTTATTTACACGCAAAGGCGTAATACGAAGGCTTTTCGCCTTCATCGGCTTGTGGAAAGGTTCCTTTCAGGTCCTCCAGTGGAGTTGCCTCGGTGGTGTTGGGGGTCGCCTGTTGTGGTGGTTGTGGGGGCGGCGGTGGTGGTGGAGGTAGAGGTGGCGGTAAGGCTTGCGCATCCTTAGATTCCGACAACACCTAAATGGCAAAAAAGCACACATCGAACACCGAGCATCGATTCAATAACCAGTATTTTTACGTGCAAGCGTTTATACCGGTTATGGTGATGCTAAAAATGATGGCATTTAGAAACCAAGTAGAAATATTTGTGAAAACGTTCATTTATTTGTTTGTTTACAATTTAATTTACAATAAGGGCTAATAACTCAGACACTAGGTTGCCTGTCTTTAACTCGTGTGGTTCTAACAATGTTCGTGGAAACGATACTCACATTGACCACGCTGCTTTTGACTCCCAGGCTTGAACAAACCCAAGGTCCGTGGAGCCGACTGTTGCGTTTATCGATCCACAGGTCCACCACCGTCCTGCCATCGGTCTCCACGACCTGGGAGCAATTTACCGCACTTCTGTCGGGGAGGCACTTGGAGGTGGCGACGCTGGTGTCTGGACAGGTCTGCGTCGGTTGGCAGTTCTCGTAGCAGGGTGCGTCGAGAGCGGGACAGATGATGAACACCTTGAAGCCCGAGGAACTCCGAGGAATTGTGCACTGGATGTTGATCCAGTGGGGCGAGACTGCACGCATACTGATCTCCGGGGCCTCGTATTGCCTGGCGTAGCGTCGATGGGTTGCCGTATCTCCGTCAAGTCGAAGCCATCCTCCACAGGGCCAGACAGAAAGCAGCAAAGCGATTGCTGTCAGCAGGCCTTTGAATCAAAAAAGTTGCCAGTTATTATGCGCACGAAGAGTTTGCACAACAACAATGATAAAATAGACATTAAATTAAAACAGTTGATTGCTTTTCTTGTGATTTTGGCAAAGTGGTCTACCTCCTGATTTGGCAACACTAGATGTCACTCGTGATTGGTCGGACGAAAGTGAACCAACAATTGAATTGAAATGGACGGGGTAATTTAGTGTCGTCTGTATCAACGAATGCACATTTGGCACAACAAAAGTGCTCAACTGGCTGCTTAAGTTTAATTATCGATTTCTTGTTTTGAATACTCGGGAAAGTGGACAACTTCCTGGTTTACGTGAATTGATTGTTCGGACGAAAGTGAGCAGACGGCGGATTTGAAATCTCATGACAACACAGCAAGCTGGCCGTTTCATCTTATTTAGTTGATAAAGAACCACACGGTAGAACACGCAGATTCCAGCAACTGCGTGACAAAACCAACTTCGGGGTGGTTTGGTGGCGTCTGATGCAACGGACGCACACCCTGCAGGTCGCCGAAGGCATCCTTCGCCACAGTTTTGTCGTCAACCGCGCAAATCAAGCTGGTTTCGATTGTTGATTTTCTGTCTCCACAAATTAATTGCTACCTTAGCAACAAATATAACTGTTTTTAACTTCATCGTTGCTTATTTCATAACTTGTAAGCCCCGTTGTGACACAGGATGATGCACTAGCCTTTTTAGTTCATGTGCAAATCATGTTATGAAGTTGTGAAATTCGCCACTGATGCAGGTTGGTTGTACTAATCTAGCCACCAACCGATTCAAAACCGCCATTTTATGCCAATGTGGGATGGCTGTTTCGTCATAACCGTCTTGTCCTCTATGTAAACCAGTTCTTCCAAATGACTACATCTACCCCAGTGACCATAAGTGTAATATGATGCGTTGACAGCTGCAGCTTACAGTTAGCAGTTGTCGTGGTGTTCGGTTTCACAGCACATGGTACTTATCAGAGTTTCCAGGTGTCCAATTAGGGACTGGCAGATTCGGACACTTTTGGAACTATGCGCTTTTTGTACGACACCGTGGTTAAACAATGCATTTATGGAAGGTAAATATATTCTTCGATTTGTAATTGATTTCTGTTTGGGTTTTCGAACTTACACTTCCCCCAGGACTTCATTTAACACGAGACAGGACGCATTTAGGCAGTCGAAAAGGCTTATCTTCTAGCCCAAAACTACAGTAATTTTATCCCAAGCCATAAAATCAGGGCATTTTAGAGGGTAGTTCAACGATTTCTTAGCAAACTGACCCATCCCTCTCGCCAGAGAAGGTGAATAGGAAAGGCGCGAAATTTCGATCCACGGAGACAATCCAGTAATACGATATCTTCACAAAGAATGCATTCTGTGTTGGCAGAATGGCCTTAAGACGAAGCCATAGCACTCAAGACGAAGCTAATTTGTGTCTCACAATACCCAAACACTTAATTTTTGGTGTGAGACATGTAGAGGACCCAATAATTGTGCGTGAGAGAGTTACGAGTGTGGAAGCCTCGTGTTCAAATGTAGCATTGACTCGAATTTCACACACGCCAGACCAGTGTAAATTATATTAGATCATGCAGTTACGTCGGCTTATTCGACAGAATTCTCAAGGTAGTACAATGTGCCCATGTGTCCTTCAAACGGTTTTTATTTCAAAATATCGATTTTCGGTGAGAAATTGGGATTGGCACTTGATATCACTGAACAAATATTCCCGAACACGTGCGCTGATGAACACTTGACTGGTTATGCGTTTTGAAGCGAGAGTCACTTGTCTGGAGTCACGTGTTTAAGAATTTCGAAAGAATGGGCAAAAGGACAAGCGCTTTTCAGTGTTGTCAGCATACTCAGTCACAAAATGACGGTCAGAAATGCCACAGCTGGAATCAACTGATTGTGAGATTGTCAAGACAATGGCGTCTGAGCCAGACACCGCATGTGGCGTGGTGCCAAGAGGGATGGCAGTGGGGATAACGATCGTCCAGTGATACTTAAAAGTACTCTAAAACCTAGTTGCGATCCCTCAAATCTCATTGGTTAGTAGTCGGTGAATCCAAATGGCATATTTATTGGTCGGCAGTCGACCTTGATTCTTACGTCTAATTAATATAATTCAAAAGGACGTTTGATCAACTTGGAATGAACAAATTGCGCTTAGGTGTTGAATGACGACTTTTGTATTTAAATGGCTCGTTCCGTTCACTAAGCGGAACTCCGTGTCATTTTGGAAAAAATTAATGAAACAGCCTCACACATTTGCTGTTATAACTGTCAGACTAAGTAGGGATAACAAGTGACGATGTTTAAATTGACTGAAAATGGAAAAGGAAGTATTTTATTTCCTCATAGTTAGCCCAGTATTGGATCAGAGTTTGACTTGGAGTTTAAAACATTTTAGTCTTGCTTCATCACGGTGTATTTACTCGTGAAATAGTGGTTAGCCAACAGCCACAAACCAACCCATTTTACGAATGATATAACTGGCAAAATTAAGCGGCACGTATTACAAATATCCACACGCAATCACAAGTGGTTGGGCCTATACCTCACATTTTGGCATCCAAAATGTTGCGTTGACCGTTAAGCATCGGATGGACCTTCACTGATTTTAAAGTAATGGAAGACGGGTCATCGGATGTGTTGGCAAGCAATAAAAGCAGTTTCGGGAAGGGTATCAGCACTTACCGAGTTGATGGAGGTAAGGCAACATAGGGGCTGTACTTGGGTTTTGTCAGGTGATTTGAAGCTTGAGAAAATGCCGCTTGGATTTGTGAAAGAACGAGAGAGAGAGAGAAAGAAAGAGGGCCTACGTCACATAGTGCCTGTTGCCTGCCAGTCTGAAACTGTGTGAATGAGCCCTCGACGATTGGTGTGTGGATCACGAGCACGGCAATTTCGATACACGCGCCGGAAAATCGATTGGTTGAGGGCGCGTGCGTGCGTGCGCGCACATAGTGAGGGTAATATGAGCAGAGAATGCGCACCTATTAACCTCGCCTTCCGCAGCTGATAACGCGTTGCGAGCCACAAATGAGTCTGGGAAAGCGAGGTAAAACACGTCACCTTTAAAATTGGGGAGGGTACTTGAAGAGTCATTCGCTTAGCAATGACGTTTGGCGCACCAGTGACTCAAGGCACGTGATTGGCTGTGCGCTGACCTTTGTTCATCCAATATGCTCATTTTAGGAGCAAGGGAGGGATTTAAGTAGAATATACTGCCTTTCAGTTAATTATGTCGTCTGAAAGCGACATATTAAATTGAATAAACAGACAATGAGCAGAATGTCTCATGGATAAGTTAAACGAATTTTTTGTATTGTGTTTTCGGTTATCATACGGCTGGTTGTCGCCTGAATTCTCTGTGCAACATATTCGACGAATTAACATTGGACTATTTTGTTTAAACGAGTGAGTATTAACTTTGTGCGGGTGTCTAAAATTCTTACAATTGACTAATGAAATTGCGACTGAAATGTGCACACACTAGAAAAACCACCGGCGAATTGTCAACAGGAAGAGATATGCGTTTTGTTTAACAAATCTAGTTTTGACCTTAGACGATGTCAATCGTTCAATTTTATTAATTTCGACTTCAATTAGTCATAGCTGTTTAGATTGCAAGGCTATTGGTTCTAAATTATATTGATTTCTCATTAAATCTGGTGAGTCATCAATGCGTGATGGTTGCCTCAACAGAGCAGGCATAATCGATATTAAAAATCAATTTTGATTTGAAACTTCAAGCCAATGCTCCTAGTCTAGAAACCAGATATTTAAGAAGTAGAGAATCCTGCACTGTATTTCAGCTATCGATACATCACATCACGTCCGAGGTCAAGGTCACGTTACTGGTTAAAACCCCATTGAAATCGGAAATGTTTTCTTAAATTTCGAAAGAAATTCCCTTCAATACAACTCATGTTTACCATTCAGCTTTCTTATTTATCATCATCAACTTCTTCTTATACCACCAATTAAACAATATTACGCCTGATAATCGACAGGAATGTGAACTCGATTACACACTAAGAGCCTGTAGCTACAAATTTGAAATTAGTGGATCGAATCCGAAAAAGGTGTATTTTTGGTAGGTTTGTTTTTTTCCTATTGAAGGATAGATTTAAGAACCAACCAGTGTGCAAGGTAAAACTTTCAAAGTCACATCATGTCGAGTGAATGAATAACCGGGTGATTCTGTCGCATGGTGTGTTATATTTTAGCAAACCTTTGGGCAATTAGGTGGGAATAAATGCGCATTTACCGGAGTTCCTGATGGTCTTAGGCGCATTTTATCGATTGATTGATTGGTTTGTTCAACTGTTTTTCTATTCCAACCAATCACTCGCGGGAACCAGCTCGCCTTAATCAACAAAAGCAAGCCATCTTTGGCATAACAGAGCACTTAAAATAATTGCGCATTATACATGCAATTATCCACTTATTTGCTAATATATGGGGTAGCTTTCACCTTTTAAGATGATCCAGTCCTTGTATCGAGTTCCAAAACAGATCGAGGTAACAGAAGTCACCTCTCTTCTAGCAAAACTTCGAAAGATTTTTATTATCCCCTTAATTTCAAATTACTTCGTAGTATCGAAGCGCCTGTAATAGCATTCAGTTGTAATTTAGTTGCTTTCGTGGCCAATTCAGGCATAAAGGGACATGTCAGACGAGCAATTGCCAACGAATGAAAAGTCAGTTCGACAGTTTTGAGAGTAGTTAAGATTTTTATGCGGCTCACTTCAAATTACCGTCGTGACGTTTTTGGAGTAATCTGCGATCAGTGCGTCCAAACTGAAGCGCTACCTGATTCCTTCCATGAGACAACAAAAGTAGCTGATTGTGTTTTCGAAAGCCGCAGTCAACAAGGACAAAAACGTCAAAGGCGTCCAGTCCAACTGTAAATACGCCTCACGGGAACACTTGACCTCATTTTTTGTCTACCAGCATAACGCCGTTGTCAACGCATGT